AATTATTTATTACAACCATATTGAATATTGTACAATAATTTAAAAGAAAATAATGCAAGAATGTAAATGGAAAAAGAAATAATTTTTTATTTGGTTTTCATTTAAAGGTTTTAACCTATTTACTAAAAAAGGAAGAAAAAATAATTAAAGATAAATAAAATTAAACCTAAATTAATTAAGAAAAGAAATTAGGTTAAAAAGTATTTTTAGGGTTTTTTTTGTGAAAAAAGGTCTTAAGTTAATAAAATAAATTTGAAAATAAATTAATTAAAGGAAACCTAAATTCTAAATTAATTTTAAATGAAAAGAAAATAAAATAATAATTAAACATAAATCTTAATATCAATTATTTAAAAAAAAGAAATTAATTTATTTAAGAAAATGTTTTTGTTCTTTTTTGTTTTATAAAGAAAATAAACATATAAATGTGAAAATAATAAATAAAAATATTTTGAATTTTTTATTAATAAAAAAATAAATAATAATAATAATAATAATAATATAATAAAGAAAAATAAAATAAGGAAAAGAAAATAAAATGAATTAAAATGGTAAAAGAAAAAAATATATAATTGGTTAGGTGTGTGAAAGTGAACAGGGGGGTATGAGGCAAAAAAAACTGATAAGGCCCACTGATTGAGGCCCAACGCTGCCGTTTGAAACAAAAAAAGAGAAAAATGTTAAAAAATTGCACAAAAATTAGCGTTGGGTGTTGAACCCATGACCTCTAACATACACGCGCGCTACCTTTGCCACTGGGGTGGCTGTACACCCGGTAACATTGATGAAATAATAAATACATAACATAAATTATGTCCTCAATGTGACTTCATCTTCAACCTCCAGCCTGAACATCTGTAACTTAACCATTTCTCAACAAAAATTAAATATGTAAACATGAAAGTTGCTCCATTTTTCCATATGAATCCAACCATATAAATATCATAAGCTATAAATCAAAGATGAATGGGAATTTTTAAAAGTACCAAATTCTGACCTAATTATTTTTAGAGGTTCAAACCTAAAATTCTCTAAGCTCAGTCAATATAAATGAAATCTATGGACATGTACAGTTTCAGGGCAATGATGTCTACATTTTATCTTCACAAATGCAAGCCTAACAATGCCTAAATGAAAAGATAGAAGTTCAGAAAATGTACCTAAAAAATGGAAATCGTGAAATGCAAATTAGCTTGATTCAAGGTGCTGCAATGATCAGGCTAGCTTCCTCAAGTTCCCAGGAAGCTAATGCAATGCTTACTTGATGTTGGGAGTGTTTGAATCATGCTAGAGAAGTCAAGGTGCAAGCTCTGTTTTTTGGTTATGGAAGTTAATGAAGATGATGTTACAGTCGTGTAACAGGGTGGTGGGTTGTTTGTATATGATGTTTAGGAACTTTTGGAAGTGAAAAACCAAGAAACGCACGAGTAGATTCTGAGTTTAGAGTTTTTGGTCAGAATGTGCAATAATGGTGGTTTGCCATACAGTTCTGAGTTTGGGAGAGTTTGAGGGCTTGTGCATTCGTGTATCCTCTTACAATAGACTTTTATAATTATAAGAAGAAGGTTAGAGCACTTGAGGTTGACAGATCTGTGAGATATAGAGTTATGGCTATGTTACTTGATTTTGAAGAAAAGTGGAAAACATGGTTTCAATGCATAGTACAAGCATAGCCTGAGTTTATGGGAGGCCCTAGACAAGTTGCTTTTTCCTTTGACATTGCTTGTACTCAGATGAAACAAGTTGGGAACTCTATGCATTGACTTTTGCAATAAAGCTTGCTTTTCCAAAATGGAAGTGTTACCTTTGTGCCATTAATGGAATAACCATTTGGACAATGCCTCAAATGCTTGGATCAAAGATCTAACAGTTGTGTAAACATTTAATTATGGAGTGAAAGGCAAGTTAGAATCATGCAAAGTGATATTTATACAGCATGCTTGAAGATTGGATCAAGTGTTCTTCACAAATTTGCCTTGCAAAACAAGAATAAAACCCTAACTTCTTGCCTTCGATTCTCCTTGCTCAAGTATGATCTCAATGAGTTCTTAGATATTTTGGAAAGCTTGTAACATCCTCTTCAATATCTATGTTTTACATTTTTGAATTCATCTCGGAACTATGTGAAAAATTTCCATGAAGTTAGATCAAAATCCTGCCTAAACTAGGGCAAAATTTCACTAAGTTTTTCAAGTTTCATGAACATGTCTTCTTAAAATCATAACTTGAAAGCCAAGCATTTATAAGAGAAGTTGTGTTCTACAATGTTTTAGATCTCATTGAGATCTACGACTTTCATGTTGGAAGTTTCCTTTGAATCATCTTACATCATGGTGAAAATTTGGCTCAAAGTTATGAAAAAAATATGAATTTTCCAACACTTAGAAAAATTCTAAGTATTGGAAATTTTGACTTTTCAAAATGAAATCTTGACTTTTTGATTTCTTGATGAATAAGTTTCATATTTTGACATGTTTTTATAAATTTTAATCTTTGGAATTTGGTTTTGATCAAAAAGTCAAAGTTTGACTTTTCAGTGTACAATTGACTTTTCATCAGTTGACTGAAAATCAACTATCAATCAATTGATCTTGAGGAATGTTTTGAGCCATGCCATTAGGTAAAAATGATGAATTTTAATCCTTGAGATCATTCCTTGAACCAATAAATCATTTGCTAGGTCAAAAATCAGAAATTGCACCTTCTTAGCCAAAACCCTAATTTTGACCATTTTGCCCTTTTGATGATCTGATCAAATTTCCGGAGAAGTTGTGATACAAACTTGATAAATTGACATATATGAGTTCATAATGTTGACATGGATAAAAAATTATGAAGTTTGACTGTAAATTAACCATAGTTGACTTTTTCCCCAATATAGTTGATTTTAGGTCAACTGATCAATTGACTGAGCAAAAATGTGATCCAAGACTTGAAACTTGACATGAGCAATCTTGAGGGTCCAAAATGATCCATAAAAGTTATGTGGGGCATTAAAATTCCATTTGTCCTTGTGCAAACTCAAACCCTAATTTTCAGTTATCAGTGTTTGAGGAGGTGTCTTGAGCTGATCAAATATTGTGCAGTCTTGAACCAAAGGAGATCTTATGAGAGATTACTTGAGAAGTGAGAGGGAAAATTTTGGAGTACAACAGGGGTTTATGAGATACGATCCAATTCTTGATTTCCAAACCTGTCTTCCCTATTGCATTATTTCATATTCCTGTATAACTTTTATCTGACTCTTCTTCTTCAAGGTTGACACCAGCATACTCAAAAAAAATTATTATCATATCACCATATGGTAAGCACATATTATTTCTCTCCTCGTCATATGATGGATCATTGCACTAGCCCAATTGGTTTCTAATTTATTATAGTATCCAAACCACAACAACATCGATTTTGTCTAAATGCCCAAAGTTATGTTTCCTTGGGATAAGAATATGTGTTCCCACATAATGAATGAGTCAAATATATAGGCTTACATTTCCCATAAAGAATGAAAATGGATACCTTAATTTGGATTTAGTAGGAAAAAGATAGTAGCAGACTCAAAAGTAAAATCATTACCTCCATTTTCATCAGCCTTGTAAATGGAACCGGTGTAGATAAGGTTGTAGACTTCCGCAAACTCTTTAAGAGATAAACAAATTTGGTGATTTCGTACCTCACTAGCAAGAACCATATCTACACGGTTAAAGTTTGAGTTAAACATCTTCACTAAGGTGGGAAATTTTTCTTTAAAGATGACGCATGTGAAGCTTTTCAACCTTGCTTCATAGAAGAGCTTGAGGAGATTTCACTTATCAAATATTATTTCTTCGAAGTGGTAAGAAGAAATAATTTCCATTGTGGCATAATCTTTATTATATCGATCTTCTTGTTCTTGAGGCGAGAAGTCTTCTGAGAAATACGCAGGAGCATAAGAACTTTCTGAAGTGTAAATTTTCTTTGGAGCCCTTGATGACGATGAATAAAATAACTCAAATATTACTTGCACACACACACACACACATAAGCAATAAGAAGAGAAGAAATCATAGAAATAGATGATAAGAAGTGATGAGCGAATACCTTTTTATAGGGCAACACACACATTTTCAAGCATAATCGATTAAGCCCTTAGGGTTAACCAATTATAGGGCGCGGAATTTGAATTTCAAATGCTCCTAATCTATTAGACATTTAAGGTTAATCAATTATTTGCTTCCTCTCAGTCACTTTGGTCTTTTTGGGCCTCAGGTGACTGTTGGGTTTCGATAAATGATCTCCCCCTCCCCCTATTCCTTACATTTTTCACCCCTTTACTCAAAATCTCAAAACCATTTAACTAGAGGGAATATGGCCTGAAGGAGACTTAGTTTCCTTGGAATCGTAGGGGATATTGTTTCCCTCATGTAATATTGTTAAAATCTTGATTTAAAACAAACTCGATATTCTCTAAATATCGTCTTTTACATAAACTCCTTTACCACTGGAGCCCAAATCCTTGATTAAATCACACTAGTTTTTTTCATTAAGAGAATAAAGTGGAATTGTTCCAAATTTTAATTAATTGATTTCGGAAAAATTTAATTGATAGATGATGTGTTTATTTATTGTTGAGGTAAACTATGTGTTAACTTTCTATTATTAAAAAGGGCATTGTCGCGGAGGACTCGTTCACTTACACTGAATCAGTTTCTTTCCATCGCCTGTGTTTGGAATTTTTCTTCTCAATCTCTGCAAAGGTAAACCAAACTCATATTCTTCTATTTCGTTTATTCATGTACAGTTCCATTCTATTATTCAAGTTACCGTACCATATCAAATTCAGTAAGAACTATAGAATTGCATTTGCTATTAGGGTTTCGACATGAATTTTTTGTTTCCTTTCTGAATAAAACACCGATACAAATTCAAGCCGTAAACCCTATTATCAACAATTTCGATGTATTGTATGTATTGTCCAATGAATAACAATTTGGATTTTGAATGCAGGTTAGGTGTTTGTTATAATGGAGGAAGGAGATAACATTCTTGATGTTATATATGATGATGATAATTTAGATGACGATGATGTTGACATGATTGATGTTGAAGAAGGAGAGTTGGTGGAGCCTGATTCGAAAAATGTTGTGGGACAAAGTGGTGATGGAGATGTCATTGAAGCAAATCAAGAATCTCATGGTGAGAACTCCAAGTGTGGAGCTAGCAAGAAGAAGAGGAAGAGGAACAAGAAAAAGAGAAAGGGTTTTGGATCTAAAGTCATGAATATAGACAGGTTTAACATTCTTCTATGTTCTATGAATTTCGGTTTTGGAAGGAATCTATTTTTAGGATAAACTATGGTTTGAGCCCTTTAACTTTTTAAGTGTAGTTTACTTCCATGAAATTTATTATTTGCAAATGAGATTTTCAAGTAAATAACAGTGAAACCATCGAATAGACAACGTTTCAGTAGATTTCTATAATCCATTCCTGTTAAATTTTATTATTTTTTGTATTGCAGGCTCCTGAGTACCATAACACGAGTCATGACTCTTGAATAATTGGAACATTTAGTTTTGACCCCTTCACTGTCCATGTCTATTGATTTTCTTGTCTTCACTCACCCTGTTCGACACCAGTACTGTGTCATTTCGTTTTGTTTCTAAGGTTGTTCCCCACTATGGCTTTGACCAAGAGGAGATTATGAGCTAAAGATCCACCACTAGGTACTCTGTGGGGGTCTGTGTTGTAAAATATCCGCCACCACTAGGTACTCTGTGGGGGTCAGTGTTGTAAAATATCCGCCATGGCAGCGCTATGGCAGATATACATGGCGGTTTTTGGACTTGCCGTTATGGTAAATATCGGCTGATATTGCGGTTTTTTCTGCCATATTCCGCCACAGCGGTGCCGCAAGCGGCTGGTATGACGATATTTGGCTTTCCGCCACGGGTCGCCATCCACCATCAACAACACTATGTGGGGTACATTTTCTTTGAGTACAAATGCAAACCTGCTGAACTCTTTTAAAGCATAAAGAATGTAGATATGCTTGAGGCATATATAGTTTAGTTGTCAAACAAATGGACCCGGATCCAGTGCTTGATGTGGAGTACCCAACTCCAAGATTTGGAAACAGAAGTTGAAATTAGACTTAAGCAAAGTAATTTAGGTGGTAAATTAACTAAAGGACTTATTCTTAAATATTTGTATGATATTGGAGAATTAGGGGTTTTGAGATCCATAATAAACATTAAGTGGGCAATTCTTTGCAATTCTCGGGGTAAAGTGCACATGACATAACTTTTAAGGGAATTACATTGTATTTTAGCCTTCTTTTTATATATGGTTGATTTGAATTACGGAACAACTTAGATTTAATCCTAGCTCAGTGTTATATTCATTTACCGGTCTAGTCTCAAAAACCTAATTGAGGGCTTAATAAACTCATTTGCCTGTGTGACCCAACAAAATTTCGAATTCAATTCTATTATTAAGTATTTAAGGGTTTTACATTTTTCTTTTCCTTTTTATTTTGTCTAAAATTGCAGTAGTTTCCCGCCCTTTGTTTTCCTAATTTCATTTAGTGTTGTGCTCATTTATCGGTCTAGCCTCAAAAACCTAGTCGATGGCTTAATAAACTCATTTGCATGTGTGACCCAGTAGAATTTCAAATTCAATTCTATTATTAACTATTAAAGGGTTTTACATTAAAGTATTTTAAGTATTCCTTTTTATTTAAGTCTAAAATTGTAGCAGTTTCCCGCCCATTGTTTTCCTAACCTCCCCTACCTTGAAGTGAATTGAATGTGAGCATAAGATCATTGTCTTGTTTGTCCATAAAAAATATATATAGCAACATTCTAACAAATTATGTGCTTTTCAGATTTGTGTCAGATATCTGTTATCGCCTGAAAGAGAAAAAGCAATATATGGTATACACTGCTGCAGGTTGTCTTGGAATCTCTGCATTAAGTGATATCGTCAAAGAGGTATTGAAACCCTTTTATGCACTCAGTTATAATTTATTAAGCAAGCTTATATCGTTCTTTAGTTCATCTTTAAGAATTTCTGTGAAATACCCCACTTGTAAATTGGAAAACAATTCTTAAGACCCCCTAAGTATCAACAACAACAACCAAACCTTATCCCACTAAGTTGGGTCGGCTACATGATCAAATTACGTCATGATGTTCTATCCAAGACCATGTTTCTATCCTATTTGTTAATTTTGAGATCTGGCTATACTGTTTGGTACCTAGTATTCCCATGTAGCATGTACTGATCCAACCATCTTGTTTTTCTTTCATCAAGAGTTGTTTGAAGGACTTCCTTATTGTATTCATGTGCTGCAATTTGCATCTTCTCGTCACTTTTTTTTCTTATCCGTGCATCTTGTATTTGTTTCCACTTTCCACTCATTTTCTCTGTTCTTAATTGAATTAGTTATTCTAAATCCTTCCCTTTCTCTTAATTATATGGAATTTTTGGTTGCCAAGATTGATTGTCAATGGTGTTAGTTTGACCGGATAACTGAGATATGCTTCTTTCTTTGCACCGTTTATAGTTGTTAGAGTCATCTTTATTTTCTGGTGTGTATTGTGTTGGCCAATTAGAACCCATTATGTGATGGTTTCCACAACCTTTGTTTTAATCGTACAAATTTTGTCAAGTTCACATGGTCCTTACTCCTATGGCAACTTCCGGAATATTTCTAACCCTGGCTTCACTCACTTATTCAATGGCCACTCATTTAATCTCCTGCTGGAATGTTTGCTGTATTTCTTTAAAGTAAATTATTCTTTTTGTGATTTATTTTCCCTCTCTTTAATGGGAATGTGGCTATGGTTCTGAGAAGATATAATTTGCTTGTCTGCTAAAGGAAAGGTGAGAGTTAAGGTTATACTCTTTGGACAAGTCTTGACTTGAGCCAGTTATGCTTATCCACTCTTTAAGTTCCCTACAGCCATTCATAATTTCTGATGCGTGTAATTTTGTCCCTAACCTTGCAGATTTTTCTTCCAGATGCTAGTTTGCCCCTTCCAATCCTCTGCTTGATCTTTGGTGTTCCTGGCTGAATCACTTTATTATTTCCAAATTATGAAGGTTGATGTTCACATTTGTTACTTCATTTTTTCAGACCCTGTTCATACATAGGGAGTGCTTTTCACTTTTAACCCCATAACCATAATTGATTTTCTAAGCTTGTGTTTGTTGGGCTGGTGAAGGGGAAAGTAATGAATATTGAGTCATTGATGTAGTCAATTTTGCCCACTTCAATGTAGCAACCCACATTTTCGGAGCTGAAATTGGATATCTCTTAATCCAAAGCACATATTGTTGATTATCTCAATGACATTTTTTTACTTAAGAAATGATCTTTGCTTTTTGACTGTACCATTCCTTTTTTTAAAATTAACATACATTGCTGAATAGCTAGAAATAAAGAAACTATGGTACTACTATGATTTTCCTTTAAAGATGTTAGGCATTTTCAAAATGACTGGGCAGACCAGTTTATAGTTTACATGTTTATTTGGCTTTACTGTCAAACCTACATGTGGAATAGTCTTTCTGAAAGTTGTATATAACCTTGCATCTATTTTTTTAGATGGGAAAGCCATTGACTTTCGGTCATCTGCTTCCTGGAATCTGTAGCTTTCTTCCGTGCCAAGATTTATGAATCTAAACTAGCATATCAAGCAGTGGGAATTGGGGGTTATCACTGGCTTTGCCGATTTGGACATTTTAACCAATAAAAATATCAACTCCATTCTGTTTTTCTTTCTATTTGATGCAGTGACTTTGACATTATACATTCAATATACTTTGCATGGAAACGGTGCTAGTATTCACCTTCACTATATTATGTACACATTAGATTTTCTTAATTAAGTTTCTGTGTGAGAGAACCTGTTTTTGTTCTTATTAATTTTTGTTAAAATATAATATGCTCAAGTTGATACATTGTAAATTTGTATGGGGAGTTTGCAGGTTGATGCAATACAAATCTGTGGAGGCCAAAAGACTGCTGATGGTAGACGGTTCCGGACTGGGGGTGGCATATTGTGGAACATCATAAAAGTTCGGGAACCAAAGGCCTACAAAGAGATCATGAAAAAAGCAAAAGAGTTTGAGGTATGTGAATAATCTTTTGTATTTTTGGGTGGGCAAGAACCTAGGACTTTATCTTGGCCTGTTACTATCTGGTCGGTGACACCTCCTAAAGTTGGAACTTTTCCATTTTTCTATCGAACAAATTAAGGTTTTTCTTTGTTTTAAATGATGGTGCTGCTTTTTATTAATTAGGTCTACATGTTTTTGCTCTTAAATAATGTTATCGAGACTCTTCAAATTGTTAACTGCTTCTTAATAACTACTTTTTTTTTGTCATTGCCCATCATGTTTATAATAATGCAGAAGCCATTCAGGCAGCCAATTGTTAAGCAACTAAATGTGCCAAAGCAAGAGGATTCTTCTCAAGGAGCTACCTTTTCATTTGCTGGCAGTGATCAGGGAAATGTTTCCAACAGTGCATTTCATGCATCAGAAATACGAAATCAACATGAACCAGTTACGTCCAAAGAAAAGTCTATATCTGTTCATGATAGATTAAGGATACCTGTTTCCTACGATGATGATCTGCTTGGAGAGAATCCAGTCAATCACGCAACCTAACTCTAGAAAGAAAGTGGTCTTTGTCACTAGACAAGCTGTTCTCCCTTTTAGATGGAGGTTTACTGATGCATTTCTTTCATCTCCCTCGGGCGAAGATTGCACTGTTCTTTCCTGTGTTCCTTTTTGCTCTCCCACCCTTTCATTTCCTTGTTTCTTTATTTACTGTCGGATGTTTCTTTAGGACTAGGGCAAACATAAAAAAAATGGAAGAGGGGTATAGTGGTGGGTGTATTGTGGTTACAGTTAACCAACAAGGGTTTCATTAGATTTTGCTTTTAACATGATAGGTGAAGTACTGCACTTTGTCTCAAAAGGGTAGGGATTTATGTTGATGACTGAATTTAATCCCTTTCTGAAATTTATGAAAAAGAAAGAAAGCAGAATTGCAAGCCTTTTTGACATTCACCTATCATAATCATATTCATGAGTTTGATATTCTTTTCCTCAAAGTTGTTTCTCTCTACTGAATGCATAAGCTATCATGCAATTTCATTATTTTTCTAATCACCTATCTATTAGCGCGTAAGAATTAATTGAATGTTCAAAGGATTAGAATTTGATACAAATTTTTGTGTGGAAATTATACTATTAAAAAATGTTTCAGAGTAACTTTTGCAAATTAAACAATAAAACCCTCTATTCTTTTTCATTCTTGAACTATGCAAATTTAATATGTTGTGTTCTCATTATTTTTGGAATCACATGTTTGTGTATAATAGGCCATATTACATGTTAAACTCCCCTTAAATATAATCCACCAAAACATCTCAATTTCAAATGCAGGATTTGAATCTATATAATGTGCAACAAATTTGGATAAAAACATCAGTTAACTAACAAACTGACAACCCATACAACCAAGAAATGCACATAATTTACAGAACATTACCAGCGCACACGAGTCGGATATTACTATCTCAAAATCCTTGTGCAATTCTAGAAGCCAAACACATTAAAAACAGTAACTTAAATAGTCTGAGAATACTGTTTAGACACTGTCATTCTCACTGGCTGGATCCTGGAATTGGAGCAGCATCTTCAATAGCCATTGGTTCCGCCTGCGGAGCTTTCTTAGTGAGCAATTTAGGGATGTCAACATTATCTTGGATACAACGCTGTTGAGGATGCGACAATAGAATTAACACATGACGGAAAAGAACCCTAGCTAACCCTTGTCCACTCTCCCAGATATAACCCTCGTATTCAGTAACATGTTCAAGAGTTTCCACTAATGCATCATACACCTCCTGGGGGCAATTGTCAGGTCCGGGTTTGTCATGAAGGTACATGACATCCAAAGTGAATAGCTTATGGTTCACAGGCCACTGATGCTGCGGGCGCACGTTTGATCGGCAGTAGAATAAAATCTAGAAAGGAATAAATAGCAAACAACATATTATGATTCCTGACAAAATTGTAACCAACCACGTGATAATAGATTTACACAAACCAAAACATGCAAAGTGATTTGATAAACCATTGATGGTAGCTACTACTCACCACTCTTAATATGCGATCCTGCATACGGGATTTTTTAGATTCATGAGTAGCAAGTCGAAACAAAGTAGTAAGGTCTGGTTGACTGCTAGATCTAGTAGCTGTAAGCCCTCGCATTGCTGCAATAGTTGACTCAACTTCACTGCTAAACTCTTTCTTCAACTGTAACAATGAACAGAAAATATTATGTCAAGTACATGCTTTGAGCACCACTCTCCTCCATACATAAAGTTTTTGTAAGATACATATCTAACATTGGCAAACAAGGAATAATCTGTTCTCAAAACATGAAAAGGAAAGATGATCACAACTATCGCCAAAACTGTTTTCCATCGGATAGAAATGGCTACATGGATCAGACCGATATAATGTTTCAAACAAAGTGTCAGAGATTGCAGATGGCAGACCACGGCGGAAAACTAGAAATCCGCCACAAGACACCACATCACCACCATCCTTCACAAATGGTCATGGCAGTTGTAAAAAAATTCCGCCATGGCCGACATTTGACAACACTGTCAAGAACCACATCTAAATACATACCATTTAATCAAAATCATCTACAATGCTTTGTCACACACCAAACACTCCTTTAAAGGAATAATTAAACCGTAATCACACGGATCGGCGTCGGACACCAAATACCCCTTTAACTAAATAATTACAATGTAATCACGCGAATCGGCATCATCGGACACCAGACACTCCTTTAATGAAACAATTAAAACGTAATCACAAGTATCAGCGCGATCGAACACCATACAATCTTTCAATATGCAAACTACAAGTGCTACATTGAACTAGGGCAAACTAAACAAAAGGCTAATAACAATTAGGGTTAGGTTACTTACCCATGAGACAGAACTGGAGAGAGTAGCAAAAGCAAACCGATGCTGAGGATTGATGGTGAGTTTGGCGTTGACAAAGAGAACGATGGCTTGTTTGATGGCATCTAAACGGGTGAGGGGTCTTCCATTAGGTCCAGTAGCACCCTTCATCTCAGCCATGGATTGAGGATCAATATCCACACAGAATAGGATATCTTCATTGTTGATTCGAGAGGGTTGAAGAGTGTACTTGCTGCTGCTGCTTCCTGAACCCTGGTTGCTGCTCTCTCCTTCAATCCCTTCCATCTCTCTTTTCTTTCAGGTTCTAACACCGAAATGAGTAAAATAATAAAGTAACTACCCCTTCAAATGACTTGTCTCCTTTTTATACATTTCCAATTTAGATAACGTTGCGTGCTTCTCTGTCCTAACACAACAAATACGGGTCTTTTGTTTTACTAGGGATATCAAAGTAAGGGGACTTTTGTCCACATCATGTCCCCGCAAATTTTAATCGTTTGATTTTAGTCGGACGATTAAAATAATATCGAAGGCGTGAATGTGTTAAATTGAGAATTACAAAGAATATTAGTATTATTAATACTAAAAAAAATATTTTTTTATTGATTTTATAAGTTAGATGTTTTATTTGTCTTTTTTTATTTATTTTAAATTTTTTGTCTGATTAAATATCAATGATGTATTAAGAATGAGGAAGTTCACGCAGATGAGAGATGAGTTAGATATGACAGTGATTTCCGAGAATTTGTTGATATCTTCAATTTTCGGTCTAATGCTTGGAGAGTAGTACATGCAAACACTCATATGTTTAAGTTAGGAATCATCAATAGTGAAATGTATTTTAAAGGTTAGAATGTATGTCTCTGTTGTGAATTTTTACTTCTCCATTTATAGCAAGGTCCTATGGTTTCAGAGACCTAGAACCTTCTATGTGGAATAATTATCTAATGAGGGATAATTGTCATAAGATTATTAGTTACGTGACTTGACATTCATGTTTTAATCATTTCTCCTAATCATATATCTTTCTAGAACATATTCATCCAGGGTCCCGTGATTTTAAACCATTCATGTGGATAATAGCTGAAAAATGTGACGTCCTCGACTTGATGTCATGGTGATGACACTACGCCAAAAGTGATTTTTAACAGCGCACATTAGACAGCGCTTTTGTACAAAAGCGCTGCTATAAGTGAATTAAAAAAAATACGAAAACTGTATAAAATAATTAGTAAAAGCGCTGCTAAACATATGACCTTAGACAGCACTTTAAAAAAGTGTTGCTAAAGGATTGCTTTAGAATGCGCTTTATCATAAGCGCTGGTAAAGGTCCACTTTAGACAGCGCTTTAAGAAAGCGTTGTCTAAAGTCATAAAAAATTAAAAAATATATATTAGAAAAGCGCTGCTAAAGGACACTATTAGTCAGCATTTTTCAAAAGCGCTGCTATAAGTCCATATTAGCCAGCGCTTTTAGAAAGCGATGTCTAAACCCTTATAAATGAAAATTAAAAAAATAGAATATGTGTATTCACAGATTCACGAATACAGAAGCGAAACTCTTTCCCTCCTTCAACAGTAAGTGTAACCCATTTCCTCCTCCGTCGCAAATCCGTCGTCGTCGTACTAGCCCCCCTCCGTCCTCCACCGTCTCTCTCGGTTTTCCTCTACCCACATCGGTCGGTTCTCAAGGTATGTTCTTTATTGAAAATGTTTTTATCTCCATTGATGTTCAAACTGAGTTATCCTCCTTGATAATGTACTATGCTAACATCTAAGACATTATCCTCCTATTGATGTCTAAACTGGGTTATATGTATGCATTTTAATTTTTGGGTTCTTGGTAGGGCTTGATATATAACAGCAACACTTTTAGCATTTAGCGTTGTTGCATTTTCTTTTGGTTCTATGTTTTGGAATAAAAAAGATGATATATGTGATGGAATTTTTTGTTATTTTAATTGGTTTTTGAATTGTTTATCATGTTTATATTTTCCATGAACTAGTATTTTGTTACTAGTATTTTGAACCTATATATATATATATATATATATATATATATATATATATATATATATATATATATATATATATATATATATATATATATATATATATATATATATATATATATATATATATATATATATATATATAAAACTTGTTTTTGATGATCCCTTTGTATTGGTGTAGTTAGTCGAAGACCATCACCGATTCAAAGAACATCAAAGCCGCATCATCGGCCGTCGACACCAATAGCCCATTTTCTTTCTTTGGTAAGTCAAGTTCAAATTCTATCTGTATCGATCAATTAAAAAACATAATTATTTTTATATAGATATATTTATTTTTAGTCCATGTTATTAACTCTAGAAATAAATTTCTAGAAATAATTTGTTTAATTCAAACAAAAAGAGAATAATTTGTTTATAGTGTTTTTGCTTACTTGAATAAGTAGAAAAAAATGGATAAAAAATGGATGTTTACCAATCGATTGTCACAAGAGTACGAGAATGGGGTATTGGAATTCGTTAAGTTTGTTGTTGAACATGCCAAATACCTCAGTCGAATGAAGTGTCCTTTTTTGGGTTGTTGTTATGTGGGTCGGGTTAACGCAGATGGATTGAAATCACATTTAAGTTTATGTTTGTGTTTGTGTTTGTGTTTAAGTTTATGTTTATGTTAATTTTTTGCATTGTCATTTTATATATATTTAAATGACTATGGAATTTTATATTGGCTTTATGTTTATGTTTATTACAGGTTAAATGGCTACTAACGACGATCATCCACGTGATGATTTTGTGCATGATGGACATAAGGCCGTTAGTAAAACAGAAATGGAATATAGAAGAGGAATAACAATAATAAAGAGAATAATTCGGGATAGAGACCAAGGCATAAAGTATGATGTGCATTGGAGCCAACAAGGCTAACTCATTGAGCCTAACGGTTCAACGTTGACGAGTTATCTCGGTTCGGTGGTAAGAAGAGAAATTCCAATCACATGTGAAGATTGGAGAGCAAGAGTGTTGGACGACGCTAAAGATAAAATATGGAGTGAGATACAGGTACCATATGTGATGTTAATTGTTTTTAATGACGATTATGTCTCTAAATTACTTATACTAACGCACTTTGTGTATGATTTTCGTAGAGGTCGTTCATCATTGAGGATACCAGGAGAGATTATATTCTTAAATTGGCCGGGAAACTACATAGAGGGTTTAGAACTTTCTTGTCAAACAAGTTTCTAAGGGATGTGGATAAATTTTTTGTTGATGTAGAGCTTCCAAAGAAATATGTTGATTTGATTACAACTGAAGAATGGAAAACTTTTAAATTGAAAAGAAATACCCAAAAATTTGAGAGTTTAAGTGTCGAAAATCGACAACGAGCATCAAGTCCAGCATATCCATACAGAAAAGGTTGTATGGGATATGCACGCTTACAACAATCTATTGTAAGTATCTATAAATTGCAAAGTATCTATAATATATACACGCTTATATTTGATCATATTTTTTGGCTTAATGTGTAGCTAACAAAAGAGAATAGTTTTAAAACATCTCTTCCGAAACACATTTTGTGGAAGGAAGCCCGTGTGTGTAAGGATGGAGTTGTTGAAGAAAAAGTTCAACAAATTTTCGAGAGATGTGTAAGTATAACATTATTTATTTAATTACATCATACTTTTATTTATTTAATTACATCATTCTTTTAATAATATATCATTCTTTAATTACAATATTTATATGAATTTCAGGAGAGTCTTTCCCAGTCTATACCTCCAAATGAAGATAATGATTGCAGGAGAATACTCTCACGAGCATTAGATATTCGTAAGTATTCTAGTCGGGTGAGGGGTAAGGGATTTGGGATCACTCCAACATCCTTGAAAAAAAAATCAAAGACAAAAGCTCCAAGCAATAAAGAACTTCAGGAGAAGTTGGAAAAGTTACAACAAGAAGTATATGAGCTGAGAAAGGAAAAGGAAATCGACCAAGCTACAGGCTTTAAAGATACTAGTGACAAAGGTAGTATCAATGGTAACTTTGGACAAAATATTACCGAGGTAATTATATACCATCTTTATAAATTATAAAACCATGTTTATTAATTATATAACCATATTTATTAATTATATAACCATATTTATTAAATTATAGGGCATTTCCCGATGTCAACTCTATTTGTCGGCACCGACTTATCAGATGGTTGGCAAGGGAAAAGTGTATAATACTTCGGGAGAAATGCTTCAACATAGACCGCTCCCAGATGGATGTTTGAAAGTATCGGTCGATGTCGTTTTAGAGGGGGGGTGCATTGTTACCACTACCTGACGATGTGGCGGATGCAACATTGGTGGCAGATGCAATAGGATCGTTTGTTGCATGACCGTCAAGCCTCGTTTGCGTAGATAATGAGGTATGCTTAAAATCTTTTACTATTCAAATTTTTTATGGCAATTATACTTACATTTTGTTTACATGGTAATGTTAGACTCCAACAAAATCCATTCCAAAAGATAAGGAGATTAGGCGGGAGATCGAGTCAATTGCATCATTTGAGGTAACACAATTATATGACATTTATGCTATGAGAAATGCTAATTTGTGATTTTATATTTTCCCTAACTAATTATATGATAACTAGATTCATGCTAAAGAGACTGCAGAAGTCAGTAGGGGTAAGGCGCCTGAAATTAGCAATATTTCCATACAAAAAAAGAATGTTGCTAAGAAGACTGTGGCTAGCAAAAAAACTACTGCTCAGTTCAGGTCGTGCCTTCGGACATATTTACGAATTACAGATATTCCGGATGGTGGTACCCGCCTTATACCTATGAGTGCAGACATCTTTGGTTTTGAATATCTTGAAGCAATTGGTAGAGAGGATATGGAGCAAGTTTTTAGGCATTTGGAATTAGGCCTCGGTGTTATCGGTATATACATCAGGTATACTCCAATCAACTTTGTTTAATTAAATGAACAATTTAATCCCTCATTTCAATGAATATAGTATAATGTTAATGATGTTTTAATTTAAGGTTTATGTATGACAACATTGTGCGTCCGCGTGGATTAGAAGCAAGATTTGGCTTCTTAGCTACCAACACTGTCAATTCAGGGTTAATTGTAACGAGACCAGATAATGCCATAACATATGTACTAAGTTTATTCATGGCCAGTAGAGATACTAAGAAGTTGTTCTTTTTTCCATATAATACTGGCAACGGGTTAGATTTTCCCTAACTTGATCTCTTATAATTTTCCGTTTTTGGCC